CAAATTTGAGACGAGAACCCGTGAAACTCGAGAAACTCGTGTATCGTCATATTAAATGGTATTTCTACCACTGCTATCCTAATCGACAGAGCTCTAAACAACCATCAATAAATTATTTATTATTTTTATAGTATTCTGACATCGCTATTTAATTTTTAACTTAAAATTATTTATAAATAAAATCTGTTCACAATAAATGATTGACTCAACAAAATTCAACTGTTTACTACAATGAGTTGAGCAAAAATGCGTAGCTATAAACATTACACATTTTTGTTCAATAGATAATGGCTTATTAACTAACCAATATGAAGCCCGATGAAAAACATTAATTTTATGGAGACTGTTTGTGTCAACGGGTTCCTTGCCGTGCGGTTGACCCGAATGACGGCAACACGTGCCCAAACTACCCAAAGGAATAAAATGGATTTCGTAAGACAGAACGGGTGACTTACTATAATTATAATAATAAAACAAATAAGACTATGCCCTTTTGGTAAATGACGGGCCGTAAAGCGCCGACGTACAATTACAAATCGATACTAAACATATACAATATTAAGGACGGGCGCCCAAGGGGTGGGAAATGTAAATCTAATAATAATAATAAATAATAATAATAAAAAAATATGAATAAAAAAAGTTAACAATAATTATTATGAACAACACCCGAGTTAGGTCACGCTACGTGTCACCGGTTTCGAACATAAATACCTCGGTCGGTCTTATGGTCTGTGTGGTTGCGCCCACGCGACCGTGCACACAGCACGTGCGACAGCCACCAAGACCGACAGATGTTGACGACTTCGGAAGCTCACTGGACGCGACCAACCTCGACGACGATGACACTGCCGATGGCTTGAATGGCGATGTGGAGACGACAAGCCACGCACACGAGGATGACGGACCACGGCAAAAGGGGTAATACACCCGACGGTAATATGCACGACGGCAACGTTATACGTCCGGCGGCAATACGCACGACGGCAAGAGAAAAGTTATA